TTAATTTATTAATTAAAAAAGTTTGTGGTTATTGAGTTGTTCTCGCGTTTTCGTAAATCACAGGGGTTCTCGTTTGAACCTCTATATATATATATATATATATATATATATACTAGTTGTGTACCCGCGCAATGCGACGGGAGCCGTGAATTTTAACGATTTTGAAGTTCCACTGGTTTTATTAGAGAAGATTTAACGATCATATAAGTTACACTTGGTCTTTACATATTAATACAATTTGAATAAATAAGAGTTATAGTTCTAATTACAGTCTAATCGATAAAAAAATTGTATAACAGTTTAAAATCCAATATATTTAAAATCCAACATATTTAAATGACTCCACAAATGTGTTCAATTTATAACAAGAGCAAAGAATCAAGAAATCGAGAGTGAGACCGAGAGTTCTAGAGCAATTGAATGGGAGATGAATGAGAAAACTTTTAAAAACTCATGGTGAATATTAATTTTAATCTCACATTGGGGGATGGGGAGAAGACATAGAGGTATGAGAGGGTGAAAACATGAGTGAAATGTGTCAAAAGTATCTTGGGAACATGAAAAGAAAATGTAATAATGTGCATAAAGTAGTAATATTTAATACATTATGAGTTGTATTTAAGACTTTTGTGCATAAATGTATAGTACTTTGTGCATTAAAAATTGTTTTTAAGACTTTTAATAAATTTGCTTTATAAGGTAGTCATACTCAGAGCATCCACAAATGATACCATATTCGTTATCAGTTTTTTCAAACTTTTCTATGCCACCTCTGAAGCCGCCTAAACTGCCCAAAAACATCAACGTACTCTTATTACAATAACAAAAATCGCAATTCATTTCTCGGTCCTGTAGTTTGTAATTTACATCGAGAAATATTATTAGCATAACTATGTATTTATATCAATAAACCAATATATCTCCTTATTTTTTTTAATAAAATTATATATTAAGTACCGAAAAATATAATTAGGCGTACGTGACAAATTTTAAAGATGCAGGTAACGACTTTTTTGTTATATCAACACATGCAACTTGTGTTTGGCATTCTAGACTATAAAAAGGGAGTCCATAAATGCCTACAAGATTCGCCTAACCGATTTTTTGAGTAAAACTTTAACATCAACCGATATTATTAAAGCATGATCTTGCTTTTTTTTTTTTATAGTATGATGCCTACGCGTTTATTAAGTCCGATAAAATATATGAAAAATAATAAGAAAGAAACAAAAAGAATGTGTATTTATCCAAATTTAATTCGGTAATTATGTTTTTGTCTTGTAAAGCCGTCTCGAATATTGTCTAATTTTAATTTACCCTTTGTTTTTTACATAATAAATTAAATTAAAAAAGAAATTCCAAATATATAAAAAATTCCAAATATTATCGCGCCACTTGCAAGATAAGTAAAAGTGAAAACTTTAGTTCAACCCATCCATTTCAGGCACCCCCCACCCCCTCCAACCCTACTCCCCACCCCACCCCACCCCGGCCAGGTTTTGGGTAGGTTGTGTAGCAAAACCCTCAGTGGTGTGGTGAGTGGTGACCACCATCCGTTTCTCCATAAGTTGAGCAATCCTTTTCCACTTTCCCAAAGCAAAGCATAAACACAGCTAAGAACCACCCGCAATTAATCACAATAAATTTGCCTCAAAACCCCAAATCCAAACAGCAAATCTTGACTGGGTTCCCATTTATGATATTAAAGATCACCAAAACCGTTTCTTCCTCTTCTTTTATGGCAAACAGGCTAGCAAAACTTGCAGCATCTTTGCATCTGTTTCTTTCAAGCTTCCATGGCATCCTACTCCATTAACAACTAGATATATAGTATAATATCATTCTTGAGCTTCATATTTATCAAAAAGCTCAGTGTTTTCAAAATGGGTTCTTTGATTCTGCAAATGGGTGTCTGTGTTTGGGTTCTTTTCATGAGTTTGAGTTACGATCTTGTGGATTCAGAAACTGATGTTCTTCAAGGAAGGGTTTTCATTAATGGGAAAAATGCCATTGCGAAGATAGATAGCGACTTTATATGTGCTACTATGGATTGGTGGCCACCTGAAAAATGTGATTATGGTACCTGCAGCTGGGGTCATGCTTCCCTCCTCAATGTGGTATGTTTTCTCCTTTCTTTTTCTGCACTTTTTGTGTTTGTTGTTGCAGGCAATTAGTGTGTGTGATTCATGATATTACAACTGAATCTACAGAGGGTTGTTTATAAATCCTAAATTTTCACCATTGTTGGCCATCAATCATCATTACTCCTTTTTGTAACAACAAATTTTGCAAGAATGAACAATTTTGGGCAAGAAAACAAATGTCCAGAAATAGAATCACCAAATCTCTTGGTATTTTGTAAGATATATGGTGATTTGAAAAGAAAGGAGTGTTTGGATTATTCAAGAACTTCATTTGTCTTTCATGTTTCTGTTTTTATATTCATATTTTCCTAACCAATTAGTTGTTCTTTAGTAAATCCTTCATATCTGCAGTGTTGTGTGTGTTTCAGAGTGTAGAAGTTTCATGTATTGAAGCATTTTTGTTTAATTTTTCTTGTATGCAGGATCTTAACAACAAAGTTTTCCAGAATGCCATCAAAGGTAAGAAGAAAATGTTAAAAAGCTGGGCTAAACTTGGACCATTTCTCCTCCCATATATGTTATAACTTTTGAAGAGTATATAGCGGGGTTTCACATATTCTCACACGGTATCATAGTCAAGGTCTACCACTTTAGGGACTCGACACCCTGGGCAATCTGTACTCTTAGCCCCCTCTCATCCATTGGAGGGGGCCTCTTAGAATCCCATGTTAGCTAGACTTAGACTATTTCTCTTTTATGGTATTCTACGAATCTGGTGTCAACCAAGGCGATATGCTGGAAGACCTGTCATAACTTCTTTCTCTCTCCCTAAGGGCTCTTCTGGGGTTCCACATATTCTCACAAAAAAATAAAAATTGTCATTGTTCTCAATTAGTTATCATACTTTGATTTCAAATGCCAAATGAACTACTTTCTATTTCAAAATTACTTGTTAACTTGGTTATTTTGAACAAAATTTTGCAGCTTTTTCTACATTAAAGATTAGATTAGGAGGGACTTTGCAAGATAAAGTGGTTTACCAAACAGAAAATGCTACCAAACCCTGCATCCAATTCTCCAAAAACACTTCAGTGTTATTTGGATATACTGAGGGCTGCCTTCCTCTATCCAGATGGGATCAATTAAACACCTTCTTCAAAGAAACAGGGTAAACCAGAATAACCCTTGTTTTTTTTTTACCATAAATTCCACATTGAAGTCCCATTGATTCATAATCACTGATTTGTCTTCAGGGCTGAAATCATTTTTGGATTGAATGCACTTGCCGGAAAGACGATACTATCCGATGGTTCAGCAGCTGGACCTTGGGATTCTGCAAATGCCGAATCTTTGATGCGTTACACGGTTAAAAAGAATTACACCATGTATGCTTGGGAGCTTGGTAAGTTCACTCACCCAAACACCGATCATAGGTTACAGATTCAAGATTTAAAGATAAGCATAATCTAACAAAGTTTGGTTTAGTTTCTATTTAGTGTAATGAATAATATTTTTTTCAAAACTTTCTATTTGTTCTGTTTTGTACCCATTTTGATTAATAACCTACTGAACTCGTAACATTCTGTTTACGAAATGTTTTTCTTGGAAGGGGATTAATCCCGACAAATTGTGACCTCAAGAAATTAGCCATGATAAATTCAGTAGCCACAATTGTTGTCTGTACGCCTGAATCAGACCTTGGGCAGATGAGATATTCCACCACATCCCCTTGGACCTCAACCACTACGCCACAACCCTTGTGGTTCCATTTACGAAATGTTCATGAATGGATGAATGGGTGATAGGGAAGTGGACAGTAAGGGGTCGTTACAAAGGCTTACCAGCAATAGTCACCACTCTCATTTACGTTATCAGGTAGCATTCTCGACCATCAAAATGGATTGTTGATAAGTGTCTCTTACCCGGTAAGTGCCAACCAGTGCAAGAGTCTTCCCCCTCATTTACCGGTAAAATTCTCGGTCTTTTGCCATGCCTCTTACCGGGTAAGATTATCAGTTCTTGCCATTCTCACTAGTAAGATAAGTGACACCCGGTAAGCATTTGGTAAACGACCCTTAAACTTGACGCCAACGTTATGTACAAGGTCAACATGTTTCCAGTCAAAATGGGTAAAAAATAGGAAATTATATTAATTTGTTATATTAAATAGAAAATTTTGAATCTTTATTATATCGATAATAGCGAAAATCTTACATAACCAATCAAATATCTTGTAGGGAATGAACTGTGTGGAAATGGAGTTGGAACAAGAGTATCAGCATCTCAGTACGCATTCGACACAACGACCCTACGAAACATCGTTCAAGAAATCTACGAGGGTATCGAGCCTAAGCCACAGATAATTGCACCGGGGGGTTTCTTTGATGCCAACTGGTTCAAGGAGTTTATAGATAAAACACCAGAAATCGTAGACATAGTGACTCACCACATATACAATCTTGGCCCAGGTATTCTTGTAAAATGCTGAGCAAAATTATTCGAACCCCAAAATGCCAAAATTTGAAGCTGACGGTCGTTTTTCATTTCTAACAGGGGTTGATCAACATCTAGTTGAAAAAATACTCGATCCATCGTATCTTGATGGTGAGGCCGATACGTTTAGGCAACTTGAGAATATCCTCAAGACTTCTATAACTTCAGCTTCTGCTTGGGTTGGTGAAGCTGGTGGTGCTTATAACAGTGGCCACAATCTTGTCACCAATGCATTTGTGTTTAGTTTCTGGTAAATAAGCTTTAATCTTTTTCCTATGATTGGACTTTGTGAAAAGACCAAAATACCCTTTACGGAAAATATTGCCATCATTGGTATTATGCAGGTACTTGGATCAGCTAGGAATGTCATCTGTTTATGACACAAAAGTGTACTGCAGACAATCGTTGATAGGAGGAAACTATGGCTTACTCAACACTACAACGTTTGAGCCCAATCCAGATTACTACAGGTTCATAACTAAATTTTGTATTATGCTTTGACTTTTGTGGTCAAAATGGAAAATTAGCCTTTAAAGGTTATAATTTTGACGGGATCCTGCTCTTTCTTACCAGCGCCCTTCTTTGGCATCGGTTGATGGGTAGAAAGGTCCTTTCTACAAACTTTACAGGGACCAAGAAAATACGATCTTATGCACATTGTGCCAAACAATCTGTAAGTTTGCTACAGACTTGACTCACAAGGGTGTGTTTTAGCTGTAATGACACATACACCCATGATTATTGTTACATATGGATTGATGATCTTGTATAGCCAGCAATACTTACGCTCCAAAGAAAGGATAATAAAGTCATTTCCTAGTCTTAACGACACTTCTAATCTCTATTGCAGCAGGGAATAACACTACTACTTCTCAATCTAGACAACGCAACTACAGTGGATGTAAGCTTGTCTCTGAACAGCACTTGGAGGATGCATAAGCTCAAATCTAATGTTCATCATCATCATAAAGCAAAAAACCAACGAAATTCCAAGATCGATGAAACAAGAACACGAGAAGAATACCACTTAACAGCAAAAGGCAGGAATTTGCACAGTCAAGTGATGATGCTTAACGGTAAGGAGTTAACAGTAAATTCATCTGGGGACATACCGCCATTGGAGCCTCTGAGTGTGAATTCTTCAGACCCCATAAGTGTTGCTCCTTATTCTATTGTCTTTGTTCATTTCCCACATCTTATTTTATCTGCTTGCAGCTATTAGATGGTATAACATACATACATGAAATGGAATTGAGAATCAGTTCCATTTCTGGTTATTAGATTCATAAACATATCCAACAACACTTGATATTTTTTATTCTTAAATCATCTTTTTAATGAAATGCATTGTGAATGTTGGTTCTTGCATTCTACTGTGTTTGCTGATACCCAAGTGTCAAAATATGAACTTTTATAACTGAATACCTTCAAACCAAAAAATATACAAGAATTATACATAATCTAGAGTTATAAGATGTTTTTATAGCTATGATTTCATATGAATACAGTTTGGTTAGTGAAAGTTGGTCACCTTCTATTCAAAATTGTTGAAGGTATCCAAAGTTAGTGGTAGTCAATAAAGTCTTGTGCTTTAATCAATCTTCTTGAAAGTTTGAGGCTTACTGCTTGCTAATGCTAACCATACAATGGTACCAGTGAGGTAGAAGAAAATCGATGGTGCAAAGAGTGACATCTGCATAATTTTAGTAATCTGGTTAAAATTATTTTCAATGAAGGATTGGAAATTAGGCAAGGTTTGATTAAACTTACACTCCATGAATGTGTTGAATCAAGAAGATATCCAGTAAGAGCAACACCTACAATTCCAGGAACTGCCCCTACGGTATTGGTAATGCCCTGAATGTACAATTCAAAGTCTCCAGGTCAGATATGTAATTTGACATCTAAAAGTATACTTCTCCGGCCAACATAAATGTGCAGAACGAAAAAGAAAGCACACGACTTTATGTGTAATTATTACACTTTTCTTATGAACTAAAAGACAATTTTATCCTTAATAATAATAGAGAGAGTAATGAATTTATCCATCATAATTAAGGATAGAATAGGAAAATAGACACTTATTTTTAAAGTGGACACTTATTTTGGGACGGAGGGCATTATTTCCAGCAAAACTAGAAGTAATTTAACATACCAAGAGTATGCTTGCGTATTCAGGTGATATGTCTTGATGGGTACAATAAAGTCCTGCAACCAAACAAATGATGATAATTTTAAGTCCTCTCTAGCAGAGACACAAAAACAGCAAGAAAAATACCAGATTTGATTTAATTTAGCACCTGACAATGCAAAGCTTGATAAAGCTAAACCACCAGTAAGGATAGCGACGACTTCCCAAGGGGGCAAGCCCAAATCGACAGACGACAAAATCATACACGCTGCAGGAGACAAAAATGCAATTGTTTGGCATATCTTGCGCACCTACATGAAAAATAATCAATTACAGATGTTGAGATTCAAAAGTTGCTAACAATAATTTAACAACAATCCCAGTTCTTCTCTCATTCATGCGAATCTGTGGGTCGCCTGTGCATTTCGGATCAACGTACCACTGTTGTTTCGACTCCATTTGATATTAAGCTATCTGCAAATTGTGAAGCGAAGCTCGTAACAACAACTGAAGCTAGTGGAGGAAGAACGGAAACCTGTACCGAAGAATGTATACATAAACATTAGAAAGATCTCAACTCAAAGTGCTCAGAATCCCAAACACACCCTTTATTTCAATAATATTGCAACCATTTTCATTTCAGGATGTCCATAAATCGCAATATTTCCATAATTTGTCATAACTTACAAATGTTCGATGAGTCGATCACTCAAAATAAAAGATTAACTTGAGTCTTGATGCAAAAAGTATGCACATATGAGCACACTAATACGAGACTTGAGATCACAGAAATGATATAAAGAAAGCAACAACAATCATCGCAGACTACTTTGGTTGTGTAACAACAATGACCATGTTAGATTATACTAGAAGGGTACTCGCACAATGCAGCGAGATACATCTCGATTTTAGTGTTTCGTTTTTTTTGTCTTAGTTGATGTTTTAATACGGTTTTGAGAAAGTGACAACGTTTTTATTTTTGAATAAAATATAAATATGAAGATATCATAAAAAATAAAAAAGAATATTGATATTAGTATCAGACTAACTATTTAAAATTTCTCCTTTTTTGTGTATTTCTTTATATCATTTTTTTTTATTTTTGGTTTAATAATATATTTTTTTATAAAGATAATAATTAAGTATTTTGTCAATGATCATCCTAAAATATTTTAGTTTTTTTATGTTTAAAAAGAGATGTTTATCCTCTATTTGATTATGTTTATCTGAAGTTAGTTACACGAATTCAAACATGAAGCTCTAATAATTTGTACTTACGACAATTTATTTGTAATCTTGAATTTTAAGTAATATGCATCAATAAACAATACTTCATGTATAAAAAATGGTTTTTAAGATTTATTTATAATATAGTATAGATTAAGAAATCTATAGATGATATTGTAATAAACAAAAAGATGCTGATTTATGGACATACCCATGCAGCTTCTGTTAAATTCAGGTCCAGCTCCTCACTGCATATCATAAAAGTCTGAAGCTTTAAATTACATGAACACCAAAATGCAGAAAGTGAAACGTCTAATTATATATAATTTATCACCTGAAATAAGTAGGAAGCCAAGACAAACAGCAATAATGACCCCAGCTTCCACAAAAATGAGCATATATCATCGCCCATACGGCTTTACTTTGGAAAAAAGACTTCCATGGCACCTGAAGATGAAAAATAGACCAAAATAAGGTTTGTATTTTCCAAATTGAAAAGGTGGAACAAGGAAATTTAGAAAACAGTTATGCTCCATACGTTTAGGGAGCCACCGAACTCCTCCATAGAAGTTTCCCATGATTTTGCCTTGGGATTTGGCTGAGACGCTGTAATTTATGGCAGTTCATGTCAGCTGAAAGAGAAAATGGGCGTAGAGGTATGACACGTAGTTTACAAAGAATTTGATTATTTGTTACAGATCCGAAATACCCACCAACAAAATAAAGAAATTTTGCAGACCCAAAGTAATACCATCAATTATGTGACGGTAATGGGCATAAAGGTAATTTCAACTTGGAAACTTTCTAGCAAATCAAACATTAAAATAATCATGAGATATCCCAAAAAGGAACTTTTACAAGTATTCATTTTTGGATGTGATATATAATCAGTTTCCTACTATGAGAATCAGGAAAACGAACCAAACCAAACCAAACACCAGTATATTCCACCAAGAGGTGAGGTAGGTAGGGGTGGGGGTTAAGATGTGCGCAGCCCTCACCTCTGTTATGAGAATCAGGGTTATTTATAGAAACATGAAAAAAATTGGAAAATGGAAGCTCTTACGCGATAAAGATGCAGAGTTGATCGAAGGTTGGTCTTCTGCAACAAACTGAAAACCCAAAAACCTTCAAATATAAAGTCACACATTAGAAAATCTCCAAGTAGGCAGTTTCCTAATCTACTGCATAGGACTTAAGATTTAAGAGCTTCTCTGTCCATTCATCTAAACTGAAGTGTCAAAAGCTGTTATTGTAACTAATGATGGGAAGAGGGAGTACTAATTTGGGTATATTCACTTACCACACTATTCCAAACAAGCCAAACATGTAGAATACAGATTCCCAGCCAAAAGATTCAATCAGAGGAGGAGCCAAAAGAAGCCTGGAGGTTTGTCGATATGTGTTATGCGTTAAAAAAATCTGATTGCTATGGATACTTATAAAAACGACCACGTACATTAAAATGATGTAACATACCCCAAGACACTTCCAACACTTAGACCACCAAATACAAATGATACTGCCCGTGAGCGCTCTTCCAACGGAATTAACCTACATAAAAGGTTGAAGGAACCACACAATAAGCAAAATGGTTCATAAAGTTGATTGCCGAATCATATAACCTCCTCTTAGATCAGCTTAAGAGCTGCAAAAAATGAACTAAAACTGCTAGTTAGGAGACACAAAAAAGTATTCTGAAGTGGAGATCAAGGTTTATATGTTATTATGTGTAGTAAATATGGCTAATCATCAGTCAACGTGTATTATGTATGCATGCCCATCTGAATCTACATACAAACTTTTGAATAAACCTGTGAAACCTAATGTAAATATCATTTTCCGTTTGTTTATACCATTTTCCATATGTATGCATGCGTATCCTCGGATACCATTTGTTTACCATTTTCCGTTTTGTGGATCCCATATCTGATTTTTGTCACATCAAGAAACGGAACTCACCAACACATCTTCATTACACCATATAAAAGGGACCCAAAATGGATTGAGCCTTAAGCGTTACAAAACCAGTTTTGAGAACAAGATACGTACTTTGAAACATAAAGAATGCAAAGAGTATGCAAAAAAACGTGTCATGTATGAAGAAGTTTATGTAAATATCGATTCATGCAGTCTGTTAAAAGGGCATGCCTCTAAACTCTTTTAATCATATACCTGGCAATCAGATCAGTGGCAGCTGATGGCGATACTCCTTCCCCAATTCCAACCTGGGTGCGGGATACAAAAAAATTTAAATTGGAATAAGGAAAACAAAAAAATTCAAAGAAAAATCAGTAAGTTTTCCTGTTAGTACATGTGCTAATAATACTTGTACTAATCATTTTCTGCACAGCTGAAGGCAAAATCTAGTAAAAACTTTTCCAGCTCTCTTTCCCGTGATACGATGTTATTCTAATCAAAAAAGCAGTACACTTTTAACATATGCATGAAATAGTTTCAGGAAATGGAAGAAAAGCAACATACAAGAATTCTCGTAAAAACAAGTCCAGGCATGAAGCCAGCAACCAAAGGAACGAGTGCTGTGGCAAGTGACCAGGCCAGAACACCAAACTGAAGAATTACCCTGCATCATGAAGCAGTAGTGCAAAATGACGTATTTATCATACGCAGGAAAACACAACAAAATATAAATCGAATGGTACTTGTACACAATTGATCACCATAAAGAACTCCTAAATATTAGGCCTCTTTTGACATCATAACCATAATACACAATAGATATCTAATGAGTGAAATACCAACAAACCATACACAAACACTTCCTTCAAAATACTAACCTCCCACCAAATATTTTTGAAAGCCAACCACCCGGCAACTGACTCATCGCGTACCCCCAAAAGAAAGATGACTGTACTAATCCTGCCACTGATGAGCTCCATCCGAACTGATGTGACATGGGAATAATGGCAATGCTCAAGTTTACCTACAAGATATTAAATTTTTGATCCAAATTACTGAAACTCAGTATCCTAACAATCAATATTACTAAATGGCTATCCAAACAAGGTTACCATATTTTAAATTGAATCAAAATCAACGCTCAACAAGAAATTTCAAATAACGAAAACTGAAATCTAGAAAATGTAACTCTAAATAATTCGTTATCCCAAAATTGGGCCTGGTGATTACTGCTACTAATTTAATTTCTTGACAGTTTCTTTCTGATGTCTACAAGATTTCAAATGATCACTTGGAAGTTTTATCTTGATCTTAAAAGAACAAAAACCCCTGTTTTGTTCTTTCCAGAACTTGGAAAATTGAAATTAAAGAATTACAAACAATCAAAGTTTACCTTATCCATGTTGCAAATAACAAAAGCAAGTGAAGTAGTGCCAATGAGTTTATATCTTTGAGGAACATTCTTCCAAGGGGGCCAGTTCAAGTTTCCAAACCCTAATTTCTCAAACCCATCTCCAGATTTCTCCCCCAATTCATCATCAACTCTTAGCCCAGTAACTATCGGAGATACCCTCTCGTTTTCTGCGATATTTTCTTTCTCCTTGATGCTACAAGAAACCTTTGCAAACCCACTACTATAATGTAGTAAAGACGGTGATGATGATGGTTTTAAGAACCGATTGTTGGAGGGATGGCGAAATTTGTGCTGTGAAAGACAAGATAAACTGGTGTCTGTTCTAAATGTAAACAATTTCGCCATTTTGTAGATGTGAACTGTGAAATTGCACAGGTTATTTGAAGCAATCACAGTGTTATTGTTATGGAAGTAATCGATCTTCAGAAGAAGAGAAAATGAAGAACGCTACTTTAAGAGAGGACCAAAGGGCGCCACGGAGGAGTTGGTTTGCGGCCCCGATTTCATTGGAAGGTAACTTAATTGACAAATGTTTTTGTTAATACGTAAAATTTACAAAACGACCCCTCAACTATTGTGTAATTTAGTATTGCAGTCCTCAATTCTCACTATTGCTGTATTGCATTCAAATCCATTTCCCTCCCCTTAATTTAGGGGTTATTTACTATATAGGTATCGAATCTTACTAGGTAACTAACGGGTGTTTGTTTGGGATTGCTTATAAAAATAACTTATTGACTTATTCTGGTGTGCCACCGGTAATAAGCATTTTTGAGTGTTTAGATAAACAACTTATACCGATGTCAAACCGGTAATAAATAGTTTTTGAGTAAGTTAAACCCTTCTGACTTACAATAAGTTTTTTTTTTTTGTAAGCATAAAAAGAGTTGCAATATATTGTTTCATGGAAAATGAATATGTAGTGTGAAAGAATTTTAGGTTGTGATGGAGTATGTGATTTAAGAAATTAATAAGTGAGAAGTTTAGAGATCATATTTTGTTATGAGCACGCTATTAAATTGTGAAATGGTACGAAATACATTTGGTAGATGTAAAACTAACATTCATGCTTTTGATTGTCTTRTTATAAGAAGAATATAGTCGTGTAATATATTGCATGTGAAAAATAAAAGTATAATGTATAGATAATTATTGTCAATTCGGTATATTATTTGGAGAGAAAGTCACATATTTCTTTCTACCATGAACAATTCAATAAACTTGTGGCATGGTTGAAAATCCGTTGCTAGATGGCAGACTCGTTTCCTGTAGAAAAAGTCATTAAATGAAAAGTATTAGTTTATATATTGTGTCAGTGTTATAGCTAATCAATATTTAATAGTTACTATAAATCTTGAGGATGTCGTACCTGGAGATCATGAGTTGTTGAAGAAATAGTTTGGAAGATTTTCTTGAAAACAATATTTTTAATGAAGGTTCGATCTTCAATCTCATTGTCGGCATTTAGTATGACCAACCCTTCATGTGATGTAACTCATGATACATCAACATACAGTTGGCCATGGGTAAACACTTGGTTCGGGAGATACAAGCCAACATGGTGTAGTGATTGTCCTTTACTTTTATTTATTGTCATGGCAAAGCATGTTGCCAAAGGAAGCTGATGCCTATTAAGCTTGAATGGTCATCTTGTTTCATTTGGGGACATGATTATTCTTGGAATTGTGACATTTTTGCCAACATGTGTTCTAGAAATAATATCTGCTCAGATGGACCATTTTCCCAATTTTGTAACGATCAATCTTGTGCCATTGCATAACCCCTCTGACTGATTTAGATTTCTAAGAAGCATTGCTCGAGCTCCTTTTTTTAGTTTAATGTCATGGTTTGGGACACCATTGAATTTTAAACTGTGCAAAAATTCTGATGGATACAAAAGATCTTCTTCATTAGTTTGTACACTTGCTTTGCACACATTGTCTGAACTGAGATAGTTGACACCTTCTCCCGGTAGCATGTCCATAATTATGTTGTTCAAATCATGAACCATTTCATTTTTTGGTGTCAATATCGCTCTTTCTTTCAGATATGTAGGGTTGTCAAAATTATCCAACAACGATGGATACACAGCTTGAATCATGCATTAAATTGGGTCAACCCATTAGTTTAGGGAGATATCAGATGGAAGTTTGATTAACTCTCTTTGAATGTCATCGTATTGAGAACCATCTCCTAGCTGCAACAACCACTTGTCAAAAGAATCTATTTGACAAGCTTCAGATTCTGGTATATCTCCAGCATATAGCCTCATATTTTGGTTATGACTAAGAACGTTATAATATGGCCATAAGTAGGATGAATTGAGAGAAGCATCAATGATATCACCGTTAGTTCCTTTTGGAACAACGGGCAAAATTTGACGAAAATCCCCACCACAAACAACAGTAAGTCCACCAAAAGGTTTTTCATTGCTATTGGGAAATCTTTTTCTAAATATATCTCGCAAACTTCTGTCCAAAGCTTCAAAACAAAATTTATGTGCCATTGGTGCTTCATCCCAAATGATCAAAGAGGTTCTCATGAGAAGTTCTGCCAACGTTGTACCATGTCGAATCTCACAAGTTGATTCTGATGTGATATTGATCGGGATATGAAAGCGAGAATGTGTCATTCTGCCGTTAGGCAATAATAAAGCTGCAATCCCCGAAGTTGCAACAGGCAAAACTATTTTTGCTTCTGATCTGAACTTAGCAATGATTGTATTCCACAAAAAGGTTTTCCCGATACCACCATGACCATGAATGAAAAACAATTCTCCCTTTTGGGATTGCACAAAAAGAACAATTACTTCATATGCCTTTTTCTGACAAGAATTTAGAGTGTCAAATGATTGGTCATGCAGATTCTTCAATTGATGACGATCATAATCAAGTTCTTCATCAATCAACCGATTTTTTGATTCTCGCAACAATGTAAAATTCRGCAATGGCATTCCAACTATATCTTTCAAACTTCTTCCCATTTTCAACATTATTGTTTCAATTTCAACCAAGGTATATGCTTCCACTTGTTTGTCATTTAAATGCATGTCCGGCGCCCTAAATTTTTTCCTTTGGAGGTAAGGAATATCTTCAGACAATGTAGTGTAGTGAGACTTCCAAAGATGTGACACATTTGAGACTTGGCAATGGATGATCATTGTAACAAATAGATGACGCAATTCAGTACCAGTTGCCCAAAGTGCAGCTTCTGTCAAACAATCAATCCATTCTTTATCATCGTCCAATAAACCAAGTGCATAACATGCATCTTGGAAAGAAGGGTATGTGACATTGCTGACGGTTCGGATACTCTCAAATGAAGTACATCCTTTGACATAATTAAGCAACATCCTCATGTAAAAACGCTCTCCACTTGAAGGGGAGGCGTAAAA